ATAAAGCCAGGAGCTGGCATCAGATAAATGAAGTTCTTGTTGGGAATGTCAGGCATGTTCCCAGTGTTAGCTTATTGAATCATCCCCACAAACCCCCAGTGGCTCATGAAACCAAGAACCACCCAACTTTAAACTTTAAACTTTAAACCACCCAACTTTTTACTGTTTGCTGGCTAATGACAGATTATCCCCAAATTCAAACCTTTGTCAATTATGTATGAGTCTTTCCACAGAGCCCTCTCAAGAGTTTACTACCATTTGTCAAGGTCTATTGAAGAAGAGCAATTATTTCAACTGCCCTTTCAGAGTTCATGTTTATGGCTGGGAGGTAGTCTACCACTGGAAGGGTCACTTCAACAGTGGTGCTCAGAAACACACATCTGACATAAGTGCAGCCTCATTGACGGCATGTGTTCTTCGGGTCTGCCCACTCTACATCAGTTTTACATTCAGACAGATATTTTTTGAAGGCCAGAGTGTTTCCTACCCCATCAAGAACATCTAGAACACCATTTGAAACACTGAAGATTGCATTAATAGTATACTTCAAGGACATCAAAATATATTTTAAGACTGTCTGAAGGCTGGGCACGTTGGTCCACACCTGTTATCTCGTATGTGCCAACTGAACTCTAGTCCTCTGGAAGGCCAGTGTGTGCCCTTGCCTGGGCCATCTCCCCAGTCAAATCCTTGGGAGGTGGATGCAGGAGCATAGGGTATTCTAGGCTCTTTTGGCCACACAGTGAGTTCAAGGTCAACCAGGGATTATGTAAGACCTTGCAGGTGGAAGTCAGAGAACAGCCTCAAATATCGATCCTTGCCTTCTGCCTTGTTTAATTCAGGATCTGTTTTATTGTTCACTGTTTTAAACATCAGGCCAGTTGGCCCACAAGCCTCTAGGAATTCTCCTGTCTCTATCTCCCATCTCACCATGGAATTTGAGATGTGTTACATCAGGCATTACATATGATCTGGAGACAAACTCAGATCCTCATATCTGTGGGGAAAACACTTGACCCATTCATTCATCTCAACCCTGGGGTAGGTAATTCTTGGTACTATGGGTTACCACATGCATGGGTGAGTATTCAATAATAGTGGCACCAAGTGAAGGTATTTAAGCTTTGAATTCCATATCTTTACAGTGCACCCTCAATATCAACTAAGTCATCAGTAGTACACCCAAAATTTAGGGGAGAAAAAAGGATAATCCCCAAGACATCCTGAGAGAAAACAATGACATCATCACACAAAGTCTTTAGAACATTGTATTTCATAAAAGACAATGATAAAAAAAGTACAAACATTTCCATGAGAAGCAAAACAGGACAAAAAAAAAGATTGCAAGGAATCACTAGCATTTACATCAATGCACTTACATAGAAGTATTTCATATTGTAATAAATAATCTTAAGTACACTTCCACCTCCTGAAAAACAACACTGTGACAGTTTGCTTCTCAAATGACAAATTTGCAAACCCAAGGCAAGAAATCTCCAGTGCTATTTATCTGACAGGTATATAAAGGAACAGGACGAGGCCAAATATGATGACATAAAGTCTGCTTTGACTCTCAGAATCTCCAAAGGGAGAATTTGTATTGGAAATGCTTCCATTTTGTTTTAAGATGGTTATCAGTACCTTGCCTGGGATAGGAATGTAACTTTTTAATAGATAATTTTGTACTTAAATTTTATAAATAAGGTTTTCTTGGTGAAAACCATTTCGTAAAATACAAATTTAATTTTTAATTACCTTTTGATTTACTTTGTGTGTGCCTGTGTAGCACATGTGTGTATCTGTGTGTACATTTGTGTGTGAATACATCTATGTGTATGTACACATGTGTATACATATGGAAGTCATAGAACAACTTGCAGAAGTAGGTTCTCTTCTTCTACAGTGTGGGTCCCAGGGATCAAGTTTAAATGCCAGACTTGGTGCAGGCACCTTTACCCCCAGAGCCATCTCAAAGGTCTACAACAGGTAATACTTTTATAAAAAGGGAAAAAAGTTACCTATTCAAACCTAATTTTGGCTAAGAATTAAACCACATCTTCACCAAGAACCAGAAAGAATGTTACAAGGAATGTGCGTACTTTCTCCCTTTCTTTGATAAACACTCCATCAGTCATGATTTCTTTCTCTAGTTCAAAGGCGTCATATGATGTCCCCAGTGCCATGAGGACCTCCCGGCACCTCTATGTCCACACTGGATTTGAGACTAAGACATCTGACAGACAAGCTATCAGAGAGTGCCTTCCTCATTTCAGAGAAGTTTCAACTTTCTTCATTTGACTTCTTTAGGGGACATAAAACAAACAACACTTTGGAACAGCCACAGCTAGCAAGACAGCTGATGGGGAGTAGACACTTGATGCAAAACCACTGGGTAGTTAAGTCAGACTGTCTGCTTCCACTAATATGTAAGGAAGAAATTTATTGTCATATGACCATGGCAACTGGGGAAAACTTGTCATTCACAGGAACATATATAGGTCACTGTTCATAACTGAAAATAATTCTGGGTCTGAATTTAAAAAGCAAAATAGAAAACAAAGTGGTGAGGAGGTTCTTACAGGTTGACATACCAGATTCAACACCAAAATACAGCAAAAATACTTACATCCCATTCGTGAAGTCATATTAATGCCGATTTAACCCAAGAGAGTAAGGCAGATTACCTGGGGTCCTGGATTTTCCTGAAACAGTATCCATGTGAAAAGGTATACCCCAATGTGGACAGCCCCATGTTATAAAATGTATTTCCTGAATAAGATTTAGCATGCTGTCAATTTCCCCACTGTGATGAGGGACCAGCTCTGGAGTCATCATCTCCTTTATCCCTGTCTCACAAGCCATTGGCAACAGTAACGTTACATTTCAGTGTCATTCCATCAAAGTAAATACTGCATTAGCCACAAGAGACAGAACATAAGTGGATAACATACAAATACCTTCATCTGCAGAAATTCTGATTTTCACTCTTTTGAGTAGCAAAAAAAATTAGTAGGTAACTATTTTAGAACCACTCCTAAGAAATAAACATGGAAAGAATAGTTTCACGGCAGATAGCGTAAGGATTTTAATAACTGTGCTTTGGTTTGTGGTTATCAGCATTACCAAAACTATGACAGAAGATGACAACTGCAAGCTAAGCTCTCCACAATAGACAGATAAGGGGAGCAAACTTTCTCACACTTAGAATTCCCTCTCTTCACTCTTGGGGAAGGTTCACTTTACAGACAAACATATGTGCTGTTTCAAATTTGTGGAAGTATGGGAAATAAGACCTAACATACAAAGGTGAGATATTTTTCAAGAATCTTTGTAATTGATAATTTCCAAAGTAAGATACTGTTTGGGTTCTTTGTTTTGTTTTGTTTTGTTTTGACATGGAAAACCTCATCCAAACTGAGTATGAGTGGACTTGGCATTTGGTAGTGAGACATATTTCAGACATTACAGTATCCACACATTCAATTAACTGACTTTAAGTCTAAAGGCCTTAGGTTCAATCCCCAACACCACAAAAGGGGGGGGTGGTATTTAATTACATTTTTAGTGAGAAAATTTTAATAACACCAGAGATTTCTTGAAAGTGAAAAGAAAATATTTTGAATGACTGGCTGATGTGAAAGGGGAATTGTGTACATCTGAGAATTAAAGTTGAAGTTTATTTTAATCTAAGCATTTATCTTCATAAAAATAGAGCATCTAATTTCTCATCTTATATTATAATCCATCTGTATAAGCACTACTGGGTTTTCCATCAGTTCATTCTTTAAAAAACGTTTTCAGAAGAACTTTCTTTTGGTTCTTCTTAATTGGAAATAATAATGCTATTCATTATGAAAATGAAAGAAGAATACAGTATATAAACACGACCTTGGGAACTTTTTTTTTTGAGGCACAAGATCCCTGACACTTACATCGGAGGTACATAGAGACATTTAATGTGAAGAGGTCCTGTACAGCATGTCACTTCACAACTTTGAAGGTTTTCTTGGTAATACTCATGCAGTATGCATAAACAATATGGCTGTTGACTTGGCAAAATCTGATGAGATTGCAAGCAAGGAAAAACAGAACCAAACAAAACAAAACAAAAAAACAAAAACAAAAACAGGTCATTCTGGCAGGGAGAAAAGCTGTGTGAGTCTTTCCCTCTTTCCTCCCAAGCCCTCAGAGGGCTGTGTCTTCTCCCACATGGGGCTGAAGGTCTAAAGCTGAACACCAGTACAACAATTACTGTAGCGTCTGTCCATCGCTGGCACTCCCTTCATTCCATACAAGGCTCAATCTTTATTTCAAGACATAGATTTACATAGTTTTTTTCCCCATGCAAATAAAAAAGTCTATAAAAGTCCAATGAAGGCATAACCAATTACATGCAAAATTGTGACATCTCATTTTTCAACAATTTGAACACATTTAATTTACATCACATATGTACAAAATACATTTTGAACGGAAATAAAAGCATTCTCTTGAATTAAATTATAGATTTCGGTATAAAAACCTTCTCTTCGTAGGGAGCTCTCTTTACTTCCAATCCCAAGCCATGGGTTCAGGTCTGTACAATGCTTGCCATGGAGGAAGCCCCAAAGCAGGGAGGAGAGGGGGGAGTGTGATGGTATGGAGTCCCGCGCTGTAAACATAAAGACTGCTGGCTCTTTTCACAGACTGGGACACAGAGACATGTCGCTCTCTAACCTCCATGAAGAGTGTGCTCCAAGCCAAGTTCACGATCCAGCGCTGTAGCCTGCCCCACCATGAGACACTTCTTTTAATAGTCTTCAATTGGAGCTAACTCTGGCATGAGGTTTACAGATATGTTTGTATACAACCTATCAACCAGTATTTTGGGCGTATATAATAAATTGTTCAATCCATCGATGTACTGACGCTCCTTGGAATACCTTAGTAGTTTATACCTAAAACAAGGCAGTAAACTAGATATGAATATGGACATATTGTCTACATTTATCTTTGTTTCTCTCTACTTATACACATATCATAACACACACACACACACACACACACACACACACACACACACACACACCCCAAAGCTGCAAACCAAAAACATTTGCCAAAGAGGCCTTTGATCACGGAAGTAACTTCCTTCTATTTTTCTTATTTTTTTATAACACGCTTAAAATTAGGATATTAGGTTTGAAGCCCTGAAGTCTCAAGACGACCATTGAACTTACCGCCCTAAAAACTGTACTTCCCCCCGATGGTGATGAGGAATAGATGTGTACTTTCCCAAGTCCCCCTCTGGCCGGGTTACATTATACCCAGCGTAGTGAACTCTGCAAGACAACATAAAATGGATTGAATGAATTTCAGAACAAAAAAGGAAAACAAAAACAGATTTAAGAACTCCAAACTTTCCAGCCCAAAGTCTCCTTTCTTAGAAGAGGCAAATGCGATTTACGAAATACAGACAGAATCTAGAACCTTAGTTACTAAGCAGCTTGTGCCTCCACATACCTGTTCCAAAGGTCATCATCCTCTCCTCCCCAACCCCAGAAGGCATTGGGAAAGCCGTTGATCTTCCTGAACTGCTCCACTGTCAGGCCACTCACCCCACCGAAGAACTCGTTATATGGAAGTCTGCAAAAGAGAACACGACACAGTGTTCCACATCAGTCAGGGCAGCCGGCCACACCTGTTGCACCTCGCATGCGCTTTGATGTACACTTCTATTTTCACACACACACAAAAAAAGCCGATTTAGACAGAAGAAGCATTATGGAAAATGTGAACAGAGAAATGAAATTTTCTCCTAGAAGAGCAAAGCAAGTACTTACATTAAATGTAAAATAAAAACATGGGTGGCAACTTTAATAGTACTTTTACGACTCAAAAACCCAGTGTTCAAAAAGTGCATGATATTCTCACAAAAACACATTTAAACATGTTAGTAACTGTCAATGCAATGTTAGATCTTCCAAACTAAAAGAATTTTAAAATATTAACTGACTTTATTTATAAGCATATTATCTGTTACATAAAAAGAATAAATTTAAATCAGGAAGAAATAGATGTTTATTTTATAAATGAACTCTATTTCTAAAATTTCTTTACCTATTTAGATTAAACTCATAAAATACTCATAAATATTTAATATATATGTTAAAAACATTTTCACAGATATTTATTATGGGGGGATGCCATGCTGCACCTGCAGAGGGTCAGGTTTTTGTAGGAGTCCTTGTATGAGGACAATTTGTAGGAGTTGGTTTTCTCCTCTACCATGAGTCCTAGAGATCAAACTCAGATTCTCAGGCTTGTCACAAGCATTTTCACCTGCTGAGTCATCTCACCAGCCCCAAATATGTTTATTGTTTAATGAACTAGTATTTAGGGGGAAAAAGCCCTTATTTTTAATTTTTCCCTGCTTTCTCTAATTCAGATTCCAAGGAGTTGGTCAAACTCTGAAACATTTTTAAATGTCTATTACATTTATTTATTTGTGTGTGTGCCTATGGAGGGGGCACTATCAGAGGATAACTTTTGGGAGTTGTATTCTGTACATAACAGAAATAAGTCTAAGCTAAATGAACGTATCCTAAATGCACTAAAGAACATCAGTATTTTTTTAAAATAAAAAATCTTAATAGTGCTTATCTTACACTGTCTACATAGGAGAGTAGAGCCATCAGGCAACAGGTCAGGACATGGCAGTCTCTGTGAGCATCCTCCTGCCCAGACCCTGAACAGCTGTCACCATCCCCCTGCTTTCATCGTCTTGCAACTTTGTGACTTCTTAACAAGCTTCCACCTGCATCTAAACCTCTGGATGGCTCCAACAGATTGGTTGTGACTTATGTGCCAGGAATCGCTGGTCTTGAAGAAACTTCACACTCATTCCCACAATGGCTGGGGTAACTTATATTCCCACCAGCAATGTCTACCTTCTCTTTTCCCCACACCCTCACCAGCATTTGTTGCTATTTTTAAAAATACCTGTGCACAATTGGTTTTTAGTAGCCATAAAAGAAAAAAATTGCACTGTTTAGAGCAATGGTTCTCAACCTTCCTAATGCTGCGACCCTTTAATACAGTTCCTCATGTGGTGGTGACCCCCAACCATACAATTATTTTTGTTACTACTTCATAACTGTCATTTTGCTACTCTTACGAATCATAATGTAAATATCTGATATGAGCAATCTAATATGCAACCCCTAAAGGGGTCATGACCCACAGTTTGAGAACTACTGGTCTGAGGAAAATAGATACACCAAACATCACTATATTAAGCAAAGCGACTCAAACTCATCAAGACAAATGTTACATGATTTCTCTCACCTGCAGAAACCTAGCCCTTATGGAGATATATAAAAGCATATCTATGTGGAAGCATGACTCCCTGGAAGAAGGAACGAGAAAATCAGGAGGGGAGAGGGAAGGAAGGAGAATAGAAGCCTCAGTGTGTTTTACACTTGTACAAGAATGTCTTCATGTCACTGTGTGTGTGCAATGGCTATCTGCCAATCAAAATTGCACTTTAAGAAAAGCATATATTTGGTTACAATGAGGTGGCATTATCCATGGTAAGGCCTCAGACATTCCCATCTGAGTCATCTGCTTGTGTTTTCCTCAAGCCTTCTGTCACTACTGGATCATTAACTTTGACTTGGCTGCTACAGATTTCATCCTTAGACTAACAATTATTTACATAATAAAGATATCTACAAGGGACTAGGGAGATGACCCACTATGCAAAGTGCTTGCCATGAGGAACTGAGGAACTGAGTTTGAATCCCTAGCACCCACACAAAAAGCTGTGATGGGGAGGTCCTTCTGTGTATATGTTTGCCTTATTGGTTGATAAAAAAAAAAAAAGCACTGTTGGCCAATAGGGAAGCAAGCTAGGCAGGACTAGGAGAGAAGGAGGATTCTGAGAAATGTATTAAAGAGAAGTCTTGTGATCCAGGCAGAAAGTGGCATAGCAGGCAGACTCAGAATATATACAGGACAAGCAGGAAATGGCTCTTTCTCCTCCTCTCTTCTCTGGAGTCACCACATGATCCCGGGAAGAGGACGCATTCTGCCGGCATCTTCAATAAGTCTTTATAAAATATGTAGATTAATGGTTATGGTTGATACTTAAGATAGAGCTAGCAATTAAGAAATCCTAGTTATTGGCCAGCAGCATTGAACCTAATATAAATCTCTGTGTGTTATTTTGGGTGCCCATGTGGAGGCAGGGCTCGGGTGGCTTGGCAGAAAGATTTATCCTTACAAAGCTGGGCACAGAGGTGTATGCCAGTGGTTCCAGCTCTGGGGATAGGACATGTCTGTGAGGTCTGTTGGCAATCCAGTTAAACCACGTGACAAACTCCAGGTTCAAAACTCAGATGTAAAAAGATTGGTGAAGAGCTGGGGGTCATGGCGCACGCCTTTAATCCCAGCACTCGGCAGGCAGAGGCAGGTGGATCTCTGAGTTCGAGACCAGCCTGGTCTACACCAGCTAGTTCCAGGACAGCCTCCAAAGCCACAGAGAAACCCTGTCTCGAAAAACAAAAAAAAAAACAAAAAAACAACAAAAAAA